AGGGTAGAAGGAAAAATAAGAAAATCCGCAAGCGAAGAGACAGTGAGAGCAGGTGCAAGCAGACTAATGTTGGAAATAAACTCTTCGCTTGCGGATTTTCTTATTTTTTCTTCTACCCTCAAGATGGAGGCGATACGTTCCTCCGAAACGTCGGTTAACACCACATCCCAGAAGACTGCTTTCTTCATAGTCACCGCCGTGAAAACCTCAAATCTTACATAGACTCAGGGTGTTTGAGAACGGTGCTCAGCAGATTATTTGGACCGAAGAGAGATGAAGTGACGGGAGGTTGGGGAAAACTGCATAATGAGGAGCTTCATAACTTGTACTCTTCTCCAAGTATAATTAGAATGATCAAGTCAAGCAGGATGAAACAGGTAGGGTATGTAGCACGGATATGGGAGAATATGAATGCATATAGGATATTGGTAGGAAAGCCAGAAGAAAAGAGACCACTAGGAAGATCAAGACGTGGGTGGGTGGGTCGGTGGGTGGACAATATTAAAACGGGTCTTAGAGAGGTAGGATGGTATAATATGGATTGGATTCTTCTGGCTCTGAATAGGGACCAGTGGAAGGCTCTTGTGAACACGCTAATGAACCTTCGGGTTCCATAAAATGCTGGGAAGTTCTTGAGTAGCTGCACAATTGGCAGCTTCTTCAGAAGGGCTCAGCCTCATGAGTGAGCGAGTGAGTCACCTAAAGACGATGTACAAATAACTCGCAAACATGTCTGTACAGGCCACTCACATCAGACACTTGGCAATGCGTAACATAACTGGCATTATGCCCTGCAATTCTATGAAGAACTGGTATGAATGAAACCGTGTGAGTTTTGTCGAACTTTTCTAGTCATTTCGACTAATTCTTCACAGACAGACACCGTACAGTCTTGTTAGTTTCCTCATTTTATGCAGTGATTCTCTGATTCACACGAGATGAATAAGAACGTATATGAAGAAGGCTACTATAGCAACCGTTAGAGATACCGACAATATAAGATGTTTCCTGTCTTCTCTTCTCATGGCATCTTTTACCAAATCATCCATGACTTTCAGTTCGTCCTGAAATATGGAAGAGAATGGCATTCAGAGTTACCAATACTGATGAACTGCATATAATTTCCTACATTTTGCAAGGAGAAATTTTAATGAAATTATCAAGTATGTGGTACAATAGATATGCCCCCCGCTTTCCTTCTGATAGTAAAATCCGAAGGAGGGAGACCGCTAAGAACAGCTATGAGCAGATGGGAGATAACATTAAGACGGTTCTTAAAGAACTAGGATAGAGTGGTGTGGACTGGATTCATCTGGCTCAGGTTAGGGACCAGTGGTTGGCTCTCGTAGACACAGTAATGTACCCTCGGGGTCCATAATATGGTGGGAATTACATAAGTAGCTGAACAACTATTAGCTTTTCAACAAGGGCGCAGGTCAGTGAACTTAGTCCGTTAGTCAGTTAAGTGCTTTCAATTAAAAAATCTGCACGGGTTAAACTAGTATGACATTAGGTACAGAATTGTCAAATGACCTGAGAAAGAAATTGTACTGACCATTTTCCACACAACCGGAAGTGTCTGATGTATTTATCCATTCTACAGTAACTCTGTAGTAGGCATTCTGCATGGTCAGAGAATTACACCATTCAGCCTGGAACTCTCTCTGAGCAGTCACTGCATGGTCACAGCATACAGCATTTGACACTGGAACTCACCTTACAGTAGCCACAGGGCATGGGTCATACGTTACCGTCCTTGGTACTAGAACTTACCTCTGTAGCAACGTAACCGAAGTTATAATGGTCAGTAATGTCAGGAAGTCCCCTTCGTGATGGCGACACCCCATCCGTTGTAATATCGCTCTGAAATCAAATGTGGAATTCTCACAGCGGTGGTTATGCAGTTATATCTTCTCAGTTATAACAGCACGTAGTCCGTTGAAAGTCGATCGATGTTTCGGAGACATGTCGCGTCCATCGTCAGGGTCGTAGACTAAACCAAGCAAGAAATGAGCGTGAAGAAGGTGGAAAGCAGAGACATGTTACTCCGAAACTTCGGTTGACTTTCAAATAACTACACAGTGTTACATGCCAGACTTTGCTTCTTCCTGCCTACTTGGTAAGGGTGAAAGTAAAAATACAAAAGGCTCCACTTTACGAAATTTCACTCGTAATTTCTCCTGTAATTGAGTGCATACTCTCGGCTTGGCTTGTATTCCGAACGAGAACTCGTTAACCCGAAACCCCTTACGAACAAAAAACGAACACGTGCGAAAGCAAACGGGAACAAACGAACGCAACGTCGTCCAGTCGGTTCGCCTTAAGTTCTGGTGGCCATCTTGTATGAGAGTCTGATATTCTTAACACTTCTGTGGTTTATGACTTATTATTGATGGTTGATGAGAAGAAAAGTTCTGTTAAAAATGTATGATAAACGTATATTTTGTAGCACAATAGGTTTCCAGTGGTTACAGCACAATTATAGTTTCGCTCCAGGCAACAAAATGGATGATCTGTATTTCTTTTTGTCACGTTAACCCTCAATTACAACATTGCTCCTACGTGAAATTGCGATTCGCGGTAAGAACTTTCCTCATGAACGCAAATATTCGACGCCTGTATTTTTTTTATTGCAAGTGGGGGGAGGGGGACTAAATCCCTTGTACTGCAGCCACTTCTGGCCTATTGTACCAGCCCCAGATGATGGGTGAGGGTGATTGTGGAGCAATTGGTGGCATGAAGATTGGTATGGGAAACCGAAGTACTCGGAGAAAACCTGCCCCAGCGCCACTTTGTCCATTCGACGCCTGTAAGGCAAGGCTATACGTTAACTGTTCCCGCGGGCACTGAATACTACATTACAATGAAGAACCGTGCCTGATATTGCAACATCAGTATGATCAATAAGCCTTAAAGCGGCTGACTGTCAGAAATGAGCGTAAAATTCTCAGAAGGGAAAACACGCGTTGGAAGGCGCTTACTCACGGGACGTGTAGATATTGAAATTTGTGCTTTGTGTTGGACTTTGTTAAATCTGAGCTTCTCACAGCAGTGACTATGCTACAGCAGAGTTCTAAGCATTACTACGTAGTTTCTTGCGCTTTGTCCGTAGTCTGGTACTTTAAAATTAGAACACAATGTTTCGGGGGCTGGAATTGTTGCCTTCCTCCTATTAGTTTGGTTTGTTAAAAAGGGCGAATCCCAATGACTGGACAAGTGAGGAAATGAGGATGGGAGCAGAGTCACGTGTTGAAACGTTATGTATATGCAGCAGCGGGACATTGGTGCGTTCAAAAAGCTACCAATACTAACGGTAATAACGTCATCATCAGAACCCTTTAGAATGTAGCTGAATCAGTTCAGGGCTGAGTCGAATTGTCACCTTTGGTATTAAGATCTATCCACTCTACGAACCAGGTTACGTCATTCCTTGTGTAGTCAACCTAACGAAAGAAATGCCAATTATCGGAATTAATTGGTGACAAATGTGGTCAGGATAATCGAAAATCCAAATATGTTTATTACATTCATATCCACACAAAAAAGACACTACTTATAATGTACTGTACTATTATAACAGTAAAATAAAAAAAAACTTTAAAAATTGGTGAAACATGAAAAATTTATAAATGAAATTATAAATTAAAATTTTTGAATATTAAATTTGAAAAAATGCAACAGTGATATTTGTTTTTCAGATGAAACTCGTTTCCCAGCTAGCAAGTCTCGCAGGCGTGTCGGTGTAAGACGCTGCGAAGCAATGCCTCCATCTTGCTTTTCGTACCACTTCATTGCTTCTTTGTGATTCGGTTAATTGGCAATTCGTACAATCACCCCCCCCCCACGGCGTATGAATACCGGCAGTATGTTGATTCTAGTAACGTTCTAATGATGACGTAATGGCGTACGTCACTAACAGAAGATGACGCAACCTCGCTCCTACAACAGATGGAGTATGGCTGTATTGAATGTACGGTTTCCAGTACCATAAAGAAAACATACCGTTTGGGGTTCTACGGTGCCCAGAACCATTCCAGTATTCACAGCCATTTGAGGACTGATGGTTAATATTTCTATCAGTTTCCTTCGCCAATAGCAGTCCCACATTAGCGTGACATGGAACGCCACTGGTGACAGAAACAGTTGCTGTCTGTCCCGCAGCAGACGCCACTCCTTGGCCGTGAAAATGTCCAGCAGCTGGACGTTACTGCATCCGTTCAGCTTCTGGAGGGCGCAGCTGTGTCTGCGGTCACCACCTCGATACACACACGTGAAGGCGACGAACACTCGGCAACGTGGGCGCTGTTTAATGAAATCCTGTAGCAGAGTACAGCATTCCTCGCACGGCGAGAAGGAGCTGTACAACTCAACTGTGATGGCTGCACTGAAATGCAATTAAATTGGGGGCCATTAATTTAATTTCGTGGGGTCGGCCTGTACCTGCCCCTTATGACAGGTGATGAGGATGAGTGTAGAGCAGTCGATGGAATGAAAACTGGCAGGGGAAACCGATGTACTCGGAGAAACCCTGCCCCAGCGCCACTTCGTCCATCACAAAATTCCACATGACCTGACCTGGAATCGAACCAGGGCCTCCGGCGACTAACCGCCTGAGCCATTACAACCGGTTGCTTAGTACACGTGAGGAAAAGTACAATGATGGCCAAGGGAAGAAATTGGTCTCTAATTTTTGACGGATTTACAAGTTTTCAACCATCTAGCTGTTTTTGGTATGAGGTCTGTGCATGTGCAAATAGGATTTTGTTGGAAAAGCCAGAAAGGAAAAGACCATTAGGAATACCCAGAAGTAGGTTGGAGGGTAATAATAATATGGATCACAAAGAAAGAGGAAGGGGTGGTATGAATTGAATTCATCTGGCTCAGGATAGGAGCCAGTGGAAGGTTCTTGTGAACACGGCATAGAACCTTCGAGTTCCATAAATTACTGGGAAATTCTTGAGCACGTGAGAGGCTGGCAGCTTCTCAAGGAGGGCTCAGCTTCATGCAGTTGGTTCATCTGTGTATGTGTGTCTGTATGTACGTGGTTTTCGCCAGCGCTTGAATTATTGCACGTATTATTATTATTATCCGTATTAGGTATTCAGCGGTTTGTCCGTCATAATTGCCATTTTCTCGGAATTGGCTCTAGGGATTTCGACTAAATTTCGGCAATTTATGGAGACCATCTCCCGAAATAAAAATGTACTGGTGATATCTTCAGGAAAATAACGCTACGCTCTCTTTTGTGCAGTGTCGTCGCTCCAAATCTGTAAGCTGTAACCGCTGACGGCTTAATGTACACTGTAATGATGGGCTCGTCTTGTAGAGTGTTGGGAACTCTGAAAGCATGTTAAGTTAGTTAAGGCAGATTCTGATATTTTGGGTTGTTAAGTGTATAGACTTGGTCGATATGTAACGACATTCCGAGTGGAATATGCTGCCTCCATCTTCAGGGTTGAAATATCACTACAGAATTGTACGGTGTCACGCCCCAGAAGACCAGAATCTGAACAATCTGAAAATATCAAATCTCGTATAGTCAAGCCAGTTACACGTGTAGTTGCATTACGTCATACTCCCCTTTATCGTGATTTTATTCCGACTGCAAGGCCTCCATTACTGCTATAGCTGGAAGGATAACATTAAAACGGATCTTAGAGGAATATGGGGTTATATGGACTGGATTCAGCTGGCTGAGGGTAGAGACCCGTGCCGGACTCTTGTGAACACGGTAATGAACCTTCGGGTTCCGTAAAATGATGGGAAATTCTTGAGCAGCTGCCCAATTGGGAGCTTCTTAAGAAGAACTCAGCTCCATGGAGTGAGTCAGTTCACTTTGTTTAATGTATTGACAGCTGGGACCATTGGTGCAGTTGGGTTTACAGAAACCATTATCTAGCCAAGCAACCGGTGGGAATCCGCAGTGACTACCGCCTACGCTTTTTATAAACTTTTACATCTTTGTCTGGCAACACACAATGCAACGCTCTTTTTCTAAAACATGTTTGGCTCAAGGTCGAACTTGGAAGTCTGCTGACGCGTCCGAATTCAGGTTACCGGTTGGAAAACGTCACGGAATTTATACATAACCCTTCCCAGTGGTCTTTTCCCCGCCGGCCTTCCAACCCAGAATTCTGTACTTTATAAATAATGAATAATAGATATTTACAGGGTACCATCATAGAGCCAAATGCTTTTTGAGAAGCCACCAGTTGCTCAGCTACTCAACAATTTCCGAAAGTTCACTGCCGCGTTCACGAAAGTCCGCCACTGGTCTCTATCCTGGACCAGATGAATCCAGTCTATACGACCCCCATATTACTCTGATCCATTTTAAAATTATCCTTCTACTTATATCTAAGTCTTCCCAGCAGTCTTCTTTGTTCTGGCTTTCCCACCACAACTCTGTACTTCGTAAGAAATGAATGACAGAATTGTGTAGGGTACCATCTAGTGGGTTGTAACGCCGTACAGTTCGACAGAAGTTCACCGGCGTTTCGGAGGAACCTACTGCTTCCTCTTTATGGTAACAGAGTTAATCAAGCAGGCGGCAAGCAAGGCTTGGCTTATTGTTAGGCCTCGAATATGAAGACTGTATATTTCTCTCAGCGTCAGGGAACTTCTACACGGCGTTAAAACCCAGAAGATAGCAGCAGCTTCATTGTCCGTGCTCTGAGAACCTCATATCCAGCAGGACTCTATGCCGCAAGTTTTCACTGTCATCAAATTTCACTGGATTTACTTACCAGCCATGTGTCCACTCGGTCCTCATAATTTCACTCAGCGCCATGTCTTCGGAATGTAGGCTTTTCTTTCCAGGAAACTGGAAAGCTCTACTTAGTTTTGTAAATTCTACGCTGAATTCAGCACCGGCATTATTACGCTTATACCTCACAAGGCACAAAGTAACACACGCTTTTGTGAAAAAGTGTGGTCTGCCTTGTTTGTAGAATAATTCTCCATTTTGGTTGTACGTTGTAGTGTTCTGTAACATGCTTAAATATAAATTTCCGCACACAACAAACGCACTACCAACGTGTTCAGTCACCCTTCAACCTCCACATGTCTTTGGTCTGTTGCCTTATCACTCCTGCGCTGCTGCTTACATCACGTGACACGAGACTCCGGCGTTGCTACTTAGGCCACGGCCACACGAGCAACATTTACTGCTCGAAATCCGCCACAAATGAAGGTGCTGCAACTGTCGCAAATGAAGTGGCCACACTAAAGCCGTAATTACTGCTCTTTGGAGCGTCAAATGCCGCGACTAGGTGGCCACATGGAGCCGTCCGCGATACCGAGCGTCAATAGCCATGATGTCACAGTGTGTGCAAAATATGGCGAGTAGTAGGCTACTGAACAGACAAACAGTATCCGCGTTATGTTTATTATTAATCTGTCATTAACGCCGAAAACAGCTACAGCAGAGGAGAAAGTGGTGGATCCATCCCGTGATGAGTGACAGGTCAGCGAGACGGAAATTTGTGCTACTACATCACAAGTTAATGGAACATTCCGACAAATTTCTCGAATATTATAGGATTACAATCAACTCATTTAAAATACTCTTATCCCTCGTGGAAGATACCATTTGTAAAACTCCATAGCGATTCACTATCAAGCGAAAACAAGACTCAAGTACCAAATAAAGCACGCGACAAATGAAGCTCGTGTGGCCAGGCGAACTACCGACAAATACAGCTAGAACATGGGCCGAGAGACATCCGTCCACGACGCGACCTTGAAATTGCTCCCTCCACGAAGAAACGAGCGTTATTTACTGCTCCGTGTGGCCCTTCTCATTTAACTCCATGGTGCGTATTTCTTGTGCTTCATTTGTCGCGGATTTCGAGCAGTAAATGTTGCTCGTGTGGCCGTGGCCTTAGCTACATACCGGCTTCCGGAGGCGATCAGGCGAAGGTCACGTGCTACTAGCTTCGAGCGGGAAACATAAAGATTTTGAGTTGTGATATCGTGCGCTAGGCCTTGCCATAGCTCAGGCGGTAAGTCACCGGCTTCACATCGCAGCGGCCCGAGTTCGAGCCCAGGTCAGGTCATGTGGGATTTGCGGTGGACAAAGTGGCGCTGGGGAAGGTTTTCTCCGAGTGCTTCGGTTTCTCCTGACAATCTTCTTTCCGCTGATTGTTGCCTAGCAACGAGCTATAAACATTCGTCCTATTGTTGCGTAATGTATCGTGTTTAAAAATCTGTTGCCTGGCGACGCGTTGGTCAAATCCGTTACAATATTTATTCAGAAAATAATTTACCCAATTTCTTCCTTGGTCTTGTGGTATGTGCCAGCATGTAATCTTGTAGGCAGCTAACCACGTTTCCGACAAACGTGCTGTTTAATGTTACAGGCAACCTGTTTTCCTAAACGTCGTCGTCGGCCTATTAGACTGCACGGTGTCAACTCAGAACACGACAGTCTTATCAGTCACCGCCGTGATGACTCCAAAGATTTTAACTTATCGAAAGAAATTAACTTTATATTTTCACGTGCGGACGAAATTTTGTGTCATGGTTGTCTCCTTGCAAGTCGTTCCACTTTCATTATCTCTGCACTTGTAGATAAAAGTGAACAGTTGAAAGGAAGGTAACACCAAATAATTAAAGACTTTTATCGTCCGTTTAACAGGTACTAATGGTAGCATCAGACGGACTGAGCGAGTGTCGGGTTGCCTGCTTCCATGGTTCAAGGCGTACTTACAGTTTCTGTTCCAGAAATCTGGGTAAATAGGCACATAATAGAATTAAACATGACGTTCAGGGAAAACTATACGACTAACGTCATCCGTAAAATGCTTTTCTGATTCGCGTCGTCTCAACACCGTCCTGGGGTTATTCTGCGGGAACATGAATCTTACTGCTGCATACAGTAAATGCAGTGGTTCCCGACATGAGGGGGCGTGAGGCCATGACGTTTAAATTCTTAGCGACAAAGTCACATGAAATATTTTTCCCCCTGCATTTAACAATCTCCCATAAGTGACCGTTAGAATTATTAATCCACATAGTATTTAATAAGGAGAAGTTATGTGTATAAATACTTGCCTATTTTCCTTTGATACGACACGAATCACATAAAAATGACGCATCCAAGAATTATTCATTGTGTGTGTATTCCTTGCCGCAGTAACATACTTACGGAGCCTTTACCTAGCAACGGTAGGGAATACACATAAAGGCACACGCGCTGATTGAACAGATCGCCTTTGAGAGGGGCTCAGGTGCCATGATATATATACCAAGTTTAAAAAAAGATTGTTTAGACGTACAGATGTTAATAAGGGTCACACACAAGCAGTTAGGTGATCTCACAAACCTGCATTTATTATTTCAGCATAAGGAAGGTAGGCTAAAAGATCTAGCGATTAGATTTCAACATCCGTCAGCATTTATCCATCAGCAAGTACAGGGCACCGTGCAGCGTTGTAATTTCAAAATATTGAAACTTTTTATCCGCGATTTTTCGTACGGTACTGATTACGAATTAGTTGTTCAAAAACAATAATATAAATAGTTCAAATTGTTACATTTATCTCAGTAAAATATTGGAAGTGTGTATGAGGTTTTTGGTGAAGAAAGTTGGCTGGTAATGCCAAACACTTCGTGAAAGATTGATCTAGTACAGGGGTGTCCAAACTTTTCGAACCGCGGGCCACATTAGGTAATTCAGCATTTTCAACGGGCCGGATAAAATGAGAAATTAATAACTCTAGGTATATATGAGTTTTATTGCGAGCACAGAATTTCATAAATTAAATACAAAGTACGTGAGAATAAATTATCGTATATTAATAACAACAGACAGTAGCAGCAAATGCTCATATTTTCATCACAAATTATAATAAAACACACTGATATGTTGGGTTTTTGGACTTTATCCATCGTC